GAAAATAGTATCGCAAAAAAGTAAAGAGACAAATCGAACGGGAAAAAATTGTTCAAATTCTCTCGACGCTTTGCGGCGCCCTCACGCGATCTCCGGGCTCTGTCCTTCGCTCTCGCGCGGTAAGTGAAACGTCACTCACTCTTAACTCTCTATCTCACAACGAGACGCATCGAAAAACAACGTGGAGGAATATAGACGTCATTTTTTTTCTTCGCATCGAATCGGCGCGATTCCCTCGTCGAATCCGCTGTTGGGTGCACACAACTGTTCGAAGCAATCGAATGCGATTCCATCGAGGAAACCTCCTCAGGCCAACCTCACGTCAATCCACCCGAAGGGAGAGCGATCACCCGAATCGAACGACTCTCATCTAGATTTCGTTTTGGGAGGCAGAACCCGTGGGCAGCGTTCGGCCAAAGTTCCTTCGATGGACAACATTAACGGGCTTTCCACGGAATCGAAGGGCAACTTGCCGCTTCTCTGCCCCGCCCAAGGATTCCCGGTACCGGTTCATAGGTACGACACACACGCACACGCACGCACGCACACACCTCTGACACGGTCGAAGGAACGGAACGAAAATTGTCGAGGCTAGGATAGGATTCGTGTTTTGGAGCCTGCCTCCCTCGGGGATTCCCTCGCGCGATGCAATCGTTGGAGAAATGATGGTTGTTGTCACGCAGAACCGGTGGGCAGCGTCCGGCCAAAGATCCCCTCGACGGACGATATACGCGGATTCAGGAGCACGGTGAACGGGAGTCAGGCTTTGATGTGCCCTGCACAGGGGTTCCCCGTTCCCTCGAACAGGTATAGATATATATATATATAAATATATATATATATAGGATATAGAAAACGAAGGAGGAGAAAGAGAATCGCGTGTATCGTGGATCGGTCGCCAATCGTTTGGTTGGTTTAATTGCAATTTGATCAGAGCCGGTTGGGAGCGTGAGGCCGAAATTCCCGACCATCGACGACTCGAGGAGTTTTCGCACGACCAAGGACGGCTCGGTCACCCTTCTCTGCCCCGCGCAGGGCCACCCTGCCCTGGTGTTCAAGTAAGTGACTCGTGACTTCGTCTCGCCTCTTTTTTCACGCAGAACCCGTGGCAAGCGTCAGGCCGAAATTCCCTTCCGTGAGCAACATTAACGGCCTCACCGTTCTTACCGACGGAGCGCTGCCTCTCCTCTGCCCGGCCCAGGGATTCCCTGTTCCGAATCATAGGTATGGCAAGGTTTTCTTTCGTTCCACTTCGCGTTTCTTCTCTCTTTCTTCCTCGAAAACGGATGGGCAAATAACTTCCTTCCTTTCTCGTCTACGATCGTACGAACTTCTTCGTGGCGCCACTTCCGAAACAGCGTTTTTCAGAAGAGTTAGGAAATCGAAACGGTTTGCTCGCCACTGGGAGGGAAAAGTCGTATCAAAGATTTGAAACCATATGTTTTTATCGTTATTTTTCAAATAACCTTTGTTCGGATTAATTATTTTTCCATAGATTTCGTCGCCTTAAATAACGATAAATAAGACGCATTATTATTATCGTGTTATTATATTCCGTATAACGTATTCGATTCCAAACCGTCGAAGCTACTCGGGTTGCAGCGATCTTTCTCGAGCTCTTTTTTGCTCCATAGCGAAACGGTTAATTCGAAAGAGGACGATCGTTCAGGAGAAAGTTGAAGGACGGAGGAATCGGTCGAACGCGAGAAGAATTGGCGGGAAATGGAGTCCCCCTGCAGGGGTTCCCTCTCTCGTGGCGCGAGCACGAGATTGAACGCGTTCGTGAAAAAACATTCAGAGCCGGTTGGGAGCGTGAGGCCGAAATTCCCGACGATCGACGACACGAGGGGATTCCGCACGATGAAAGACGGCTCGGTCACGTTGCTGTGCGCCGCCCAAGGCTTCCCTGTCCCGGTTTGCAAGTAAGTGACGAGGGAGCCGATGCGCATCTTTTTGCACCCGATTCGCAGAGCCAGTGGCGAGCACCCGCCCCAAACTCTCCACCACGATCAACTTGATCGGACTCGCCGCGAACACGAACGGGAGCTTGCCGCTTTTCTGCCCCGCGCAGGGATTCCCCCTTCCGTCTTATAGGTAGGGAAACTTGCGGATAAGTATTCGAGAAGATTATTATTTCGTCGATTATGTTAATCCTTTCGGTCATCACAAGGACGTAAACATGCTTGGTGCGTGTATAATACATTCGACAAGGAGAAATAAATTTTTTTGTCCAAAGTGTAAATGTTCATTCGTCACTTGACAGGAAATTGTTTTTTTTTATTATCATCTTCAAAAGTTTAACAACTTGCTTTGTATAACTCGTATATATGTATGTATTTTGGTGAAATATAATCTTTGAACGTGCTCTCGCTTGAACGCAATAATCTCCTCGAAGATATGAACCGAAAAATGGTAATTTAATTTAGAGAACTGCTTGGGAAAGCCACGATTTTTTTAAACGATTGAATAATTGGTGACCGAAAGGGTTAAACTGATTCTCGGCCACTGCTTGGATCGATGCGGCCATATTTATTTTTGATTTTTTAAAAATATTCCTTCACGAATAGATTCCTAACCTCTTTACGTGTAATTTTATAAAGCGTGGAACAATATACTGTCGAATGGTTAGATTTCTTTTATCTTAATTATAGATTTAGACCTTGATCAAAGTTTGACAGTGGAAATATTATTTTCAAAGTTGAGTTTGAGGTTTGTGAGCACGGTGATGATGAAATCAAGCGAAGATGAGTTTATTTAAGAAATTGACGATAGAGAGAAGGGAATAGATGAGAATAGATATATATATATATATATACGGTATAAGAAGATGAAATATAAGAATAATAGACGGTGAACGTGAGATTATCGGGATCATAAGGTAACGTTTCACCGATACCTGCCCCGACAAATCATCTTGATAATTACATTATCCTTTAAATATCGCACAATTTATAAAGACGCGTAAAATATATAAAATAAGACATAATATATTTTACAGATTAATTTGTGAAATCATTTTGAAATTACCTAAAAAATTGGGGAAATCGTCTAAAGCTGTCGATTAAATATAAAATTTATCGCAGCACGCGAATCTCTCACTCGAATCCCCCTTTTTGGGATTGCTCCGCAGAGCCCGTGGGGAGCGCGAGGCCCAAGTTTCCGACCATGGACAATTCCCGCGGCTTCGTCTCGAGCCTGGACCAGACGCTCACGCTCCTCTGCCCGGCCCAGGGGTTCCCCGTTCCCTCGCACAGGTGAGGGAATCATCCCTGCAACTCTCGATGACCATCTCTCTCTCTCTCTCTCCTCCCCCCTTCGTAGAGCCGGTGGCCACCACCAAGCCCAAGTTCCCCATGACGGAGAATTCGCGCACGTACACGGTCCACCGCGACCAGCCGTTGACCCTCATGTGCCCGGCCCAGGCGTTCCCCGTTCCAGCCTTCAGGTACGAAAAAAAAAAGGAATGGAAAGCGAGGAAACCCTTTTCCCTCCTCTTCCATCCTTAGAGCCTGTCGGGAGCAGCCGGCCGAAATTCCCCTCGTTGGCCGACTCGCAAACGTTCAGGGTGGCGCTGGGCGGCGCGATGACGCTGCTGTGCCCGGCCCAGGCGTTCCCCGTTCCAGCCTTCAGGTAAAGTCGAGAGGAGGAAACACGGTGCAGATGGGAAGAGTAGTAGTTATCTCACTCTCTCTATATATACATATATATATTCCTTCGTCACTGTAGAGCCCGTGGCGAGCACACGGCCGAAATTCCCCTCGTTGGCGGATTTGCAAGCGTTCAAAATGGCGTTGGGTGGCGCGATGACGTTGCTGTGCCCGGCCCAGGGGTTCCCCGTTCCGTCGTACAGGTAACCCGAGCTTTGCCTCGTCCATTCGACTTTTTCTTCTCGTCAGAGCCGGCGTCCAGCGCTCGTCCTCAATTATCCGGGCCGAGCGATCTTCTACGGTTCAGCGCCTCCTCGCGGAAAAGCGTCACTCTTCTGTGCCCCGCCCAGGGATTTCCAGTGCCCTTTTATAGGTAGAGTAAGATAGATCAGATGGAATAGAAAAGAGAGATACCCTCGTAGGATAAAAGGAGGGGGGGAGTCCCTATTCCAGCAGAGGTTTCGGAATATATATATATCTTCGGCGTCTCGCGTTCTGTTTTTAGAACCGGCGTCGAGCAGCAGGCCGCAGTTTCCATCCGTGAACGACGTCGGATTACGCGCGACCAAAGGCACGGGATTCTCGTTGCTTTGTCCCGCACAGGCGTTCCCGGTCGCCACGTTTAGGTAGGTCGATTCCACGGATGAGAGATAGGAGGATATCCGTTTTCGTGTCGCCCCTGTCCCAGTATATTAGACTCTCTCTCTCTCTCGCGAGAGAGATAAGTTTTCTCCGTGTTTCGTGAATTCGAGGTTACCGTTTCTAGAGCCGGTCGGCCTCGCGAAGCCAAAGTTCTCCACGATCGACAAGAGCCGAACGTTCGAGGCCCTCGAGGCTCGGGGCGTCACGCTGCAGTGCCCCGCTCAGGCGTATCCCGTCCCGATCTTCAAGTAAGTCCAACCACCAGGAAGATTCTTCTCTCTTGCGCAGAACCCCTGTCGAGCTCGAAACCTAAATTGACCGCTCTGGACGTGAAATCGACGAACCCTAGCGCGACGATCACCACCGTTACCACCCTCTTGTGCCCCGTTCAAGGGTTTCCCGTGCCGGCGTTCAGGTAAACGATGCCAATCCCAGGCTGTACTCGAACCTTTCTCTCCCCAAAGAGATGGTGCGGGCGCGTGTGGATCGATCTTTTGAACGGTTTCTTCCCGCAGAACCGGTCGCCACCACGAGGCCAAAATTCCCGATGACCGAGAACTCGCGCACCCTCACCACTTACACGGTGTCACGCGATCGACCTTTGACTTTACCCTGCCCAGCCCAGGCATTCCCCGTCCCAGCCTTCAGGTACGAGAAAAACAGTTCTGCTCGAATGAGAAAGGGGCGATGTCGTCGTATCGTCGCTCGAACGTAACTTTTTTGGTCAGAACCCGTGTCCAGCGCGAAGCCAAAGTTCACGAACGCGGACATAAAGGTGGTGAGACCAACGGCTAGCTCCGCCTCGGTGTCGATGACCTGTCCGGCCCAGGGGTTCCCTGTCCCCGTGACACGGTAAAGTAAGAAAACGAAAAAAAAGAAAAAAGAAAGGGGGAGAAAAGCAGTTTCCATTCAATTCTCAGAGCCCACCTCTAGCCAAAAGCCAAAACTGCCCTACGTTCGTAAGGTCGAGTTTATGGAAGGGAGGAACGGCGATGCGGCGTGTTTGATGTGCCCGGTGCAAGGTTACCCTGTTCCACTTTCGAGGTGAGACGATATTCGACGCGGTCGATACGATTTCCCTCCGGTTTCGAATAACGCTCGCGCGATTGCCTAGATTAATTCTAATTTCTCTCTGTCGTTCGATATCCACGCTCCATGTATATACATATATGTATATATATATATATACAAATATCGGAAATGTAATTGCCATCGATGCACATACGTGTATATATATATATATATATATCTTCCCCAGAACCTGTTGGATTCAAGTCGCCCATTTTCTCCACGGACAATAGCCTTAGTAAATACGCGAGGCGAAAGGGCACGAGCGTGGTGCTCGCGTGCAACGCTCAGGGATTCCCCGTGCCAACGAGCAGGTAAACCTCGCGTGATCTCAACTCGATCGATTCGATTCAAGGTGGTTAAACTTTCGCTTCCCACGTTTTCCTTGTGCCGATTGTTAGAACCGATCGGGTCCAAGTCGCCGATCTTCTCCAACGATCTCAGCTCGACCGCGTACGCGAGGCGGAGGGGCGCGAGCGTGGTGCTCGCGTGCAACGCGCAGGGATTCCCCGTGCCGACCACCAGGTAAATCCCGCGTGGAAACGTTTCCTTTTCCCGGCCGCATTCTTTTCTTTTTTAGAACCGGTCGGGTTCAAGTCGCCCATCTTCTCCAACGATCTCACGCTTAGCGCGTACGCGAGGCGGCGGGGCGCGAGCGTGGTGCTCGCGTGCAACGCGCAGGGATTCCCCGTGCCGACCACCAGGTAAATCCATCCCGATTCCAAGCCCTTCGCGGTTCGAACGAAAGGGGCGCAATTGGACGAAATTATTTTTTGCCCGAATTTAATTTTCGGGAAATTTTCGTTATCGCGATATATTTATCACGATTTGGTGTTATTTCGTTAAAAATGTATATAAAAAAAATTAACATAAAATCATAAGGATATTTGTGATTAAGAAACAGGCAAGGAAGCGTTTAGAATTTGAATGTACGATAATTTGTCATTATTTCGTTAAAAATGTATATAAAAAAAATTAACATAAAATCGCAAGGATAAGGATATTTGTGATTAAGAAACAGGCAAGGAAGCGTTTCGAACTTGACAAACATACGATAAACTGGAGTTTGAGAATTGGAAATAGAACATTCTAAAGTATGTCTATTTGCTACGGGATGTAGATACCAACTGAAAATTAGAAAATGGAAAAAACATTTGTAAGAAGCGACATACTGACGGCTAATATTATTATTGTTGCTTATTTCTGTAAAATATAATAAGTAAATAATCATAGAGATGCATAATGTAAGATGGATTAGAATTAATTAGAATCCATAATAATAATATCGGTGTCAAAAAAATCAGTCAAGTAACCAGCGTTCGACTGAACGGTGGCAAACAAAATTAATGTCGATCAAATACGATTCATACAACGAAACAACGATTCTTAATAAATTTACAGAATATTTCCCAACTTGAAATGAAACGTGACCGATCAGTCTCTCATCAATTCTCCGCCTGTTTAATTTCGTTTAATCAATGCAAACGTTTGAAAAGAGGAATTAGCGGAATTTCGCCCACTTTCGTACGTATCGTTCGAACCACTCGATGACCGATCTCCCTTAAAATCTTCGAACAATAAGAGGCCAATCGTATCGATCCGTGAATAAGCCACTTTCGAATCATCTCGAATTGTCGCTCAAAGGGCTCGTGACGAATGACCGGAGCGCGGCGGTTGTGTGTTTCGCAGAGCCGGTCGGGTTCAAGTCGCCGATCTTCTCCAGCGACGACAGCCTGAGCAAATACGCGAGGCGGAGGGGCACGGGCGTGGTGCTCGCGTGCAACGCGCAGGGATTCCCCGTGCCAACGAGCAGGTAATCGGGCGCAGAGAACGAATACGATCGATCGATTTCAGAGCCGGTCGCAGCGAGGTCGCCCCGATTCACGTCCGACGATCTGAGCCGCACGATCGGGCGATTCGAGGGCCAACCCATCTCCATTTTTTGCGCCGCGCAGGGAAGCCCTGTGCCCACCACTAGGTGAAAAATCGTCGTGTTGCGTATCGATTTCTCTTCGAAAATAGAATAATCGTGTTGTTTAGAACCTGTTGGAAGCAAGGCGCCAGCCTTTGCCGGGGATCAAAAACTTTCTCTGTTGGTGCGACGAGCGAGCACGGACGTTAGCCTCCCCTGCAATGCCCAGGGACATCCTACTCCCGCGTATAGGTACGAAGAAAGTGGGCGACTCCTTTCTCTCCCTTCTCCCCCTCCCTCTGAGAAAAGGGGAACCGAGGGCTGGAAAATTGTAACGTCATCACCCCCTGGTTGTTGACTTGTTTTCTTTGCCCAGAGCCGATGGGGATCAAAGCGCCGGCTTTCCCGGGGGACGTTAACTCGTTCCTCCTCGTTCGTAGAGGGGGCGCGAACGTGGGCATGCCGTGCAACGCCCAGGGCCATCCTGTTCCCGTGACCAGGTACCGTCCAGGTCAAATTCTTCCGGTCCGCAAAAGTGTTTGAAATCGCTTTCCATTGTTGTTGTGACGGGACGATGATTCCATAAACCAAGTCCCTTTCACCCTTTCGCTACGAAAATGTTCTCGAGCTGCAACTCGAGCTTTTGATTAAACACTTTGGGATCAAATAATGGTACGATTGAATGAATAAAAATAATTGAAACGTTGTTTGAAAAATAATCTGATTCTCAAAATCGATTATTTTTGCTGAAACGTCGGCCGTGGTTAACGAAAGGGTGAAATAGGCGAAGGTCAGTGTTCAGCCGGTTGCTCTTTGACGCAGAGCCGGTCGCCTCGAGGAAGCCAAAGTTCTCGAGCGACGCGAAGAAGTCTTGGTACGATCGCGTCGTCGGCCAGCATCTCACGCTCTTCTGTCCCGCTCAGGGATTCCCCGTTCCTCGCATAGGTATAAAAAAAAAGAATTAATTAGTCGAAGCATGACCTTCCATCTCGATAATCGCCTCGAAGAAGAGTGACACGAAGCTTATACGCCGATACGAGCGTGTTATCCGCCCAAGATCTGTTCCCGTTCAGGGGTTCCCTCGCACAGACAGACATACCTCGAGCAAGAGAAGATCAATCGTCAGAGGAAGCACGGCATTCTTCTCTCTTAATAGAGCCGGTCGCCTCGAGGAAGCCAAAGTTCTCGAGCGACACGAAGCTTACCTGGTACGAGCGCGTCGTCGGCCAACATCTCACGCTCTTCTGTCCCGCTCAGGGGTTCCCCGTTCCTCGCATAGGTATACGCGAAAAAAAAAAGAAAAACGAATAACAAATTATCCTAAGCATGGATCCCTTGTGTGCACGATATCGGTCAGAGCCGGTGGGCAGCAAAGCACCGGCGTTCACCGGCACGTTGAAGGGCGGATGGATGGAAACGGAGGGAGGCAGCCACGTTGTCCTCTTCTGTCCCGCTCAGGGGTTCCCCGTTCCAACGTATAGGTATATAAACACGGAAAACCGGCCGATTTTAACCTACCGACATTTCGTGTATTCCGAGCGGTCAAATGAGCGTTGCAAAAGAACATTTGTAACTGAATATAGAAAACGGCTAATTGGATTCGTAAAGTAAACAATACGGAACATTGAAAAATTTCCGTTTTATCTAATACGTTATAGAAAATAAGTGATACAGTAACAAGAAATTGTAAACGAAATTTCAAAAACGATCATTTGACCGCGCCGTGGTAGGTTTAACGTTGAACCACGCGTCTCGTTAGAGCCGGTCTCGAGCAAAGCGCCGGCGTTCACCGGCACCTTGAAGGGGGTGTGGATGGAGGCGAAGGGAGACACCCATTCCGTCCTCTTCTGCCCCGCGCAAGGCTACCCCGTGCCGTCGTTTAGGTAACATCCTTTTTTTTAATCCGTGCTTAATCATCAAGCGCCCTTAGAATAGAGCAGAGGTTACGTCCCCTTGGCCTCGTTCGCGATATCGGCCACTTCCCTTTCCCTTTCGTCGTGCAAAGCGGAACGATTAATTGTGGCTGTTGGTTCGTCGCGTTGTCAGAACCGGTGGGCAGCAAGGCACCGGCGTTCACCGGCGGGGACGTGAAGGGCGTCTGGCTGGAAAAGGGGGCTGGATCCAGCGCCGTGCTGCCGTGCCCGGCTCAAGCATATCCCGTCCCTTCGTATAGGTAAAAAGAAAAAAAAAGAAAGATCCGGGTTACGCTCTTGTTGAACGGAGGGAGGAGGGGGGGGGGGATTCCAGGCCAATCACGTAGGCGTATGTTAAACGCGGGCGTAGCATCACGCTGACAGCTTCCTTGTTTTGTGTATCCGATTAGAGCCAGTCGGGAGCAAAGCGCCTGCGTTGATGGGGATCGTTAGAGGAATAATGTTGCGAATCCAGGCCGAGTCCAGTGTCGTGATATTCTGTCCAGCGCAGGGCTATCCCGTGCCCTCATTTAGGTAACAAATTCTTATTCGAATTTTCGTCTTTACTTTAAAAGAGGAAAGAAGGAGGGATAATTCACTCTACACCGCTCTCTTCCTAATCTAATCGCACCGAAACTGTGACTAAAAAAATCACCTCGTTCGATCCGAAGTTATTATCTTGTTACGACTAACATTATTAATCGCCACAATCATTGTTTGTTCACCGCATGTGTATACACGATTATTGGTATAGA